CACCAGGGGGGGTGAAGCTTGGGGCCTCGGAGAAGTCCATGGCCTTGTAGTCGGGCGGCTCATATGTGATGCCTGGCGGTGACAGGGTTTTGTACCAAGAGGGCCGCACCCAGCCAGACTCCCTCCCTGTGCCCACTGGCTACCTGCCCCAGCGCCCCCGGGGGTGGGCGTGAGGGCCCAGCACCTGGTCTGGGGATGAAGACGGGCTCCTTGGTGGTGGCGGCTTTGTCACTGGGCCCCACCATGTTGTGGCTGAAGACGCGGAAGTAATAGCCGTTGCCGATGATGAGCTCGGACACCACACAGTGGGTGCGGCGGTAATGCTCCAGGACCGTGAACCACTCCTGCGGGCGGAGAAGGGGTCCCTGGGGCTGGGGGCTGGGGACAGGCCCTGCTCCCTACCAGGGGCCTCTCGGTACCCCTGGTGTCTGCACCCCAGCTGTGCAGAGAACCAGGTCACGGAGGGTGCATTCTCAGGGTCTGCCAGGCCCCAGGAGGGGTGCATGTCGGGGGTGCCCAGGCTCACCATGGTCTTCTTGTCTGCTTTCTGTACCGTGTACCCCGAGATCTCGGTGTTGCCATCGTCTTGGGGTGGCTTCCACTCCAGAGCCACATTGAAGCCCCACGCCTCTGTGACACGGATGTCCTGGGGAGGACTTGGCTTGTCTGCAGGAGACAGACCCGGTGGAACCCCACACCCTGCTCCAGGGCCCATCACCCCGCCAGCCGGGGCCTGGCAGCCCAGCTCGGGGACCGGAAGCCAACGGGCTAGAGGGAGGCCCCAGGGCCACGCACCAACGATCTGCAGGACCAGCGTCGCCTTGTCCTCCATGTTCTCGATGCGCAGCGTCACCTGGTAGGTGCCGGAGTGGGTGCGGCGAGCGGACCGGATGAAGAGGATGGTGTCCGTGGGGCTGTTGCGGATGCTCACCTCCTCGCCTGCCAGTGGCTGCCCCTCTTTGGTCCAGGTCACCTGAGGCCGGGGCTTGCCCTGTGGGGAGGGGCAGCTCACCTCCAAGCCTGGATCTCCCTGAGAGCCGGCCACCCCCAGCCTCCCGTGCCCGGGAGGGGGTCTCAGGTGAGCCCCGAGGCACATCTGTCTGCGAGGCGTGAGCCACACCACGGGACAGAGAAGGGGCCGCCCTACCTGGAAAGGAATGAGGAGGTTCACCGGCTCCCCGACCCTCCTCTGGATGGTCTGGCGCAGGTGCCTGGGCAGCTGGAGCCGTGGCCGCTCTGTGGATGCAGAGTGGGCAGCTCAGCAAGAGCCACCCCCGGCCCAAGGCCTGAGGGGTGCCACGGCTCCATTCTCTCCTGAGGCAGGGCCCAGAGAGCTGCAGCTAAAAAAGCGCTGTTCCCTAGGCGCCCCCTCCTTTAGCTCCCCCTAACCCAGCCCCAAAGGGTTCACAAAGCGCCTGCTTCCCCCTGAGCCTCACCACACTGCTCAGGAGGCAGGGATCAGAGAGGGTGTGCAACTTGTTTGAGGTCACACAGGCCAGGATGCAAATCTAGGCTCTTGGACCCTATTACCACCCAGTTTGCTGTCTCTTTTCGCCCTGAGAACCCGTCCTTACACACAGTTGGTCCTTTGTTAGGAAGGGAGGCCCAGATGGGTCAGCTTGACCCCAAGTGGCATCACTGCTCAGTCCTGAGCACAAGGACAAGATCTACCTGCTGGAGCCGAGACTCACGGGGCAGAGGATGCATAGAGACCCGCACTTTCCCTGCCCCAGACGAGGGCTGACAGGAAACCAAGAGGACACTTTCCGCCCAGGTTTGCCCTGGGCCCGGGGCCTGGATGAAGACTCCTGCCCCTCCAGTCCCTGCCCAGCAGGCAGCTCCTCCCCCAGGAGGGCCGTCTGACCGTCCCCACCTCCAGGGGCCCCAGGCCAGGTGTCAGTGGCAGGTTCTGTGACCAAAGGGGCACTCACGCAGGATCTCCTGCACCGTCACAGGCTCCTTGGTGGTGGCGGGAGCTCCAGGCCCAGCCACATTGTGTGCCCGCACCCGGAAGAGCAGCCGGGCCCCCGTGGGCAGGTCCTTCACCAGCATCGAGGTGCGCTCTGTCAGCCCCTGCAGAGCAGCCACCCACTCGGAGCCTGGGTGGCGGGGGGCAAAACCACGGGCAGTGTCAGCATCGACACCACCCTGCTGCCTGCCTCTGGGGGCTGTCGGGGCTGCCGCTGCAGGGAGGGCCCCACGGGGTGGCAGGTGCCTGGCAGGGGCTGTTCAGAGAAGGGCACAGGCTGTGGGCCCAGGCTGGGCAGCGACACTCACCGCCTTCCTGGCAGTACTCCACACTGTAGCCATCCAGGCCTCCGGCTCCCTCGCGCTCCGGGGGCCTCCACTTGAGGGACACGGTGGTGTCGGAGATGTCCTCCACCGCCAGGTGGGTGGGCTCGCTGGGGGGGCCTGGGCAGAGGAGGGCAGAGCGGGGCCTGAGTCACCGGGGCTTCCCCTTCGGCTGGCTTTCAAGCGCTTTAAGAAACATTTCAGCTCCAGTTAACAGAACTGTCGCTAGATAAGCTTAGGTACAAAAGAGCTCCAAGCAGGAAAAGGCACCCGAGGCCTCAGAGAGCTTAGGAGCCACTTCTGTTCGACAGCGAGAGTGCGGGAAGGTAGGCTGCAACACGGGCGCCTCCTCCCTGCGATGGGTGAGCTGACTCAGAGCCGAGCAAATGGCAAGTCAGTCCTAATGAAGGACCTCTCTCCGCACAGGCAACCCCTTCCTGCCATCTCCCCAAGCTCTGCCCTCCCCCTGGACTGGAGGGGGCGCCTCCCCCTGCCTCAGACAGCTGCCCCCAAAGGCTCACACATCCCGGCACGGACAGGGTTCCTGGAGAGCCTGCCACACCTTCCGTGTCTGGGCTACCCTTTCTGCCCCCCCCCGCCCCCTCCCGTTCTGCAGACGAGGGAACT